TTTCGGCTCACGGTGTGCCTTTACACGTAGTTACTGACAGGGGCTCGAATTTTATTTCACATGCAATAAAAGAAGTATATCAGAAATTAGGCATCACTAAGCACACCACCACCAGTTACCACCCGCAGTCTGACGGAGTCGTTGAACGCTTAAATGCTACTCTAATAAATTCTCTCAGCCACCTTGTGAGTGAGACGCAGGAAGATTGGGACAGACATTTGCCTTTCGCACTTTTAGCGCACAGAACTGGACGGCATAGCGCATTACTGGACTGCCCAGCATTTTTTTCTTTATGGAAGAGATTTAAATTTACCTATTGATTTGTTGACACAAACAGACTTTAAGACTTATCGTGACACAGACACTTATTCAAGGGATTTAATTTTAAGACTCCGCAGGGTTTTCTCTTTAGTAAATAAGAACTTAACAGAGGCAGCTGAAAAACAGGAAAAGATTAGGAATAAGAATGCTTTTTCAAAAAATATGAAAATAGGGTATATGGTGTATCTTTTTACTCCTATATTACGGCCTGGATTGACTAAGAAATTTGCAAAGTTTAATGAGGGTCCATATAGAGTTTTTGGACAGGTCACAAAAATGAATTTTAAAATTGAGTCAGGTACGAGGCCACAGCAATCGTAGGTGGTACATGTGGATAGATTGACAAAGGTAGCTGAACATATAAATTTTCCTTCTTTACAGGTTTGCAACACTGACGCTCCGGAGCGAATTGATAATCAGTGTGCAAGTATACCTTATAATTTGAGTGAGAGAGGCTCTCAGGGTTTTGTAATATACAGTACAAAGTCCGTAATCCAGACTCGTGGGGACTTCGGCGATTCTGGATTAGGGTTTTTTCGGATTATAAATCATCAATTTAAATCTGGTAAGATAGCATGCAGAAATTATAATTAATTAAAAATATGAAACCATAATTTATGAAATAAAGACCAATTATGATCTAAAGGGTATCAAAATTTACAAAAAAAAAAAAAAAAAAAGCTTAATATTTATTTGTTTACTTTATTAAACATTTCTGTCAATGTAAGTTTTTTAAGTTGCTTCGTTTTTTGTGCTAATACTTTCTCTTTAATTCTATAAACAGACATAATTTCTTGTTCAGTTACAAAGTTCCACTGTTGAAGTCCTATAATTGCTGTGTCGAGAATACCGACTAACTTGTCAATCAAAATTTTTTCGTTTTCAATAATCTCTCTGTCACTTTCTTCACTATTGGAAGCGGTATTTTCTGTATCTAGAACCATACTACAGATTTCGCCGTCTGTTAATTTATTGATGATTAGGCATAATCTTTTTGACATAATCAAAACTTCAAGCTTAATTTTTATAATATTGCTCTAACAGTCAGCAAAAAATAATAAGCCGGATCCAATTAGAATGTTAAAGAACAGAGCAGTCTGCAACATTAACCGGAATGCCTTAGAATCAGTAAAGATAATTTTAGCCTAGCTTATACCATCCAATCCGCATTATAGATCATTCCAGATAATGGCTCTACGGATTACGGACTTTATACTGTACTAATTTTGTTTCTGTATATATTCGATGTTGAGAAAGATTACTGGCAGAATTTCCTTTCGTGTTTCTTAATCAAACAATTTGATTTCATCAATTTGTGTCAGAATTAAGTGAATTTTGTATTTGAGTTTTGCTTAACTCTTTCGACAAGCAGCGCTTTTTGTTTTACCACGATGTGCGAGAATACTTCTTATTCTTGGATTCCAACACTTGTGTCTCCATAATTTTTTTTTTGGGGGGGAAGGGGAGGACTTTACGGCTGGTTCCGTAATATTTTTTTTTCCTTCCTCTTCAGTAACGTTAGCAAAATTGTTTTCCCCCCCCCCTTTAGGTCCTGATCAGACCGTCTTTTCAGCTTAGTTGACCTGGTTGTCTATTTAAAGTGTGTGAAGTCTACTATGCTTGAAAGATTTGCATTTTATTTTGCGTCACTCATATTTAGTTTGTAGTGTTATAAGTGTCTTGCTTTTATATATATTTTTTCTCTTTTGTTTTTGTTCATCAGGTATTGCTCGTTTCCTGAATTTTTATTTTATATTTGTCTTGCATTTTCAATGATTTGGGGGCACGATTTGATAGTTGTCTGTGCGTTGTAACTTCTGGTATCAGCTGTAGGGTGCTACGAAATATGGTTGAGTAGATTCTTATCAGTGCTTCCGATTCAAGGGCGAAGTTGCCTTCCTTGTTTGCCAGACGAATAACGGGGGGGGGGGGGGGGGTGGGGGGGGGGGGGAGTTGAGATTATTTGTTCATGGGTACTTTCTATTTGAGTGGGGATTTTCTTCAGTGCTCACGTCATAGTTTTCTTCTTCATTTTCGGGTTAGTTGAGGTCGAGTTTTGGGCACTTTACGCTTGGTTCTGTTGCTTGCTTAGGGGGGGGGTGTCAGGATACAGGAATTCGGAGTAATGTGAGCAAGAGTTCTTACCGTATCTTTCCCGTTTCATTGACAATTCCCAAGGGTCCAGTTGCAAAATGGATGTACTTTACTTTGATGTAATCAGGTTCCCTTAAGTAAATGCAGGATTTTTATATTTTTTTTTATATTAAGAGAGAAGTAGGATGAGTGTAATGGCATATTTTGATATTCTTTTCATGTGGGATTTGTAAACTTTTGGCACTTCTTTTCGGCTCGAAAAAATTTTATGGTTCCTCCAAAAAATTTGTTTTTTCACGAACGAAGGAGGAAATGTTGTGTAGTAAAATTCAAGATTTTACGAATTAAATCATTTCTGTTTTTTGCTGAATTAGATATTAAGTTTAATTTTTTTCTCTAGAAAGAAGCATTTATTCGTGTATTTTTGTTATAAGGAGATTAGTTTTTCTTTTATTTTCGCATAATTCTTAATATATTGGGATACAGTCTGTAAACCAGTCTCTCAAGTAAAATTTATGTAAAATTTTCTAATATAAAGTGAAAGGGAAAAATTTAGCGAACTTTAATGGATTAATTGTGCAATGTTAGTTTGATTTAATGATTTAATGTAAAGAAACGGGGTCGCCTGATATTCGTTTCTTTTGTGCCATTTTGGTTTCTTTTTCCTGTCTTCTTTGACTCAGGGAGTGTTCCACAGGATTCTAGAAGCTAGGTCTTTGTTCGGAGTTAATCCGAAGGTGTACGTGATAAAGTATATTTGTAAACAGGAAGTTTAAGGGAAAGGTCGGGAAGAGGTCAGGATTTTGGTGAGCCGGTTCTGAGAGAATTGGCGAATTTTCATAGATAGCGGACTTGTGTAGTAGAGACTTGACCAGTTTTGGAAAACAAAGATTGGACTTTGGAAGCTTCTGAGGGGCGAGTTTTGCCAAGTCTGGAAAACAATGCTTGTTGGTACTTAAGAGAGAAAACTGAAGTGTTCACTCTCTGGGATTTGGATTTTTTCTTCGTTTGTGGCTGACACTTTTGAAAGCGCTATCTGGCTGCGAAGTCAAATAGAGGATTTCTGACATTCTTGCCTGTGGTGTTCCTTTTGTACCACAGGTTGTGTCCTTTTGTTCCTGAAGTCTTTTCATGGGGATTCTGCAACATTATTTGCCTTCTACACCCTGATAATCTAAGGGCATGTATAGATGCTTGATATGTGAGTGTCGACGAGATTTGTCTGCTGTAAGGATTATGGATGCTGCCTTCCACTGCCCCGCTACGATGTGGTACAAGTGATTCCTACAAAGCGAACTGACGAATTAGCGAGAGAAGGGGGTGGATGACGGATGAAGTAGATGTGTGAACAGGAGGTGCTTCCCCATGACAATTCACCGATGAACACTAGAAGGAGAAAAACACCCTACGACAAGCCCATTGCCATTCTTGACGGGACCGCGGAGAGTGACACCATTAGTGACTGCAGCAAAAATGGAATGCCAGACTATTCCAGTATGATATAGCTAAGTTTGGGTTCTTTTATCTTTCTTTAAGAATTTTGTTTTCATGCTTTTATTGAAATTTGAAAATATAACGCTGATTTTTTGTTGTTTGACTTCTGAATTCGTATTTTTTTATTGCTTGATTACTCGAAGGACTCCAGGAACCCTATTTCTCTTATCATTATAGAGAATCTTATTTTGCCTTTAATTTGTGTTCATTCGCGATAGTGTTTGTTAGAATTTTTTGAAGTATTAACGTAAAGAATATCAGAAATTTAGGTATAAGGTCTTAATTAATCAAGAGATTAAAGGATTAAGGAATTAAACATTAAGAAATATGTTTTTGTCATGAAGTAGAATAGAAGTAATAAATAAGAATGAAGTTTGAATGACTATGTGAATTCTGTGTTAATTGAATAGTATGTTATGCTGTATTACTGTTGTTGGTAAAGCAACAGTTTTAACATCTTTCAAGATGTTAAATATAAAATAATAATAATGAGTAAATCTTAATTACTAGAATAAACTTCTAGATATTCAGGCAAGATTGAGATTGCATTCAAAGCAAAATGATTGGATTTTTTAAAAATATAATCAGGTAATAGTTATTATCTTGAAGAAGGATAAGTATTTACTGGTTAGTATTCTGAAGCAGTTTAAAACAAATTGAAATAATTATTTCGGGGAGTGGGTATATCAGCAAGTGATGCCCTGGTTTCCTCAGTTTCATGCAGCTCTAAGTGATGAACTGCTAAAACTATGTCATGCACTTTCTTGTCTATAGTGTGGTAGCCATTTCTAGGTGTTCTCAGTGTGATTCGCCCAGCTAATATATGTAATAGGTAATAGTATCCCAATAAAAAAGCAAAAAATTTTGTTGGAAAAATATAATTATTGGAAATTTAAAATTTTTAATTTGCCAATATACTTCAAAATGTGAATCTGCCATTAAATCATTCACTTTATGTTAAATAAAAAAGAAGAAAGAAAGTGTTACATATTTTTAATCTAACTTGGTTTGTAAAAATTGTTAGCAGGAACAAATGCTATTACAAAATAATTTTTGTTATATTTTTAAATTATGTATGTATGTTATTTTAGGTATCTGAAGGAATATGATTACTATGAACGGTGTGTTAGAGAGCGACAGTGGCAAGAAAAGCCGCCCAAAGTGTTCAAGCGTCATAGAAATAATAGCACAAGTGGTTGCCTTTGTTTTACTGGACGAAATAGGAACAATGACTCCAAACGTGCCTATCGCACCGTCTGAGGGGCGTTATGAAGGAATATGCATTCCTTATTGCATGTTCATTATTGACTTTGAGAAATGAACATTTTATCTCAACTGGTTGGGATGATGCATTTTTTTCTTGTCATTTGTCCGTTGTATATTTTACATGGACTCAAATGTTTTTCTTTTTTGTAATATTGTGCTTTTAAATGGTCCGGCACCATCTCACTGTGTCATTAATCCATTTCATCCTGCTTTTTGGAAACTTCTGCTTAAGTTTGAACTGTTCACGAGCTTTAGGATGTCAAAATTCTCATCTGCTTCATATTTTTGCCAGAAATGAGGAACCTAATTCTGTAATGTTATTATTTTGAGATAGGAAATATGAAAAATTTGCTTTCATTATGCAAAATGTATTTTTTAACTATTGTACTGGTTTAATTACTTTAGAACCCACATTTCTGGGAGAGGGATTTTCATGTTAAATTATGGTTTCTGAAAGAATACCTAATATGTTCAGAGAGATTATGTAAACTGTTGGTAGATTTTTATTATTATTGTATGAATTTAGTTATAAAATGTGAACTATATAGAAATGTTCTGAACGCTTGGTATGTTAAATATTTGACTGTTGTTGTTGTAATATTTGTTAACTAATCTGTGGCTTTATAAAGTTGGATAAAAATTTTAATGTGATAGATATGGTAATGTATATTATGGATGACACTCACCTGAAGTAATGCAGTGCTTAGCAATTAGTGTTGAATAAATATTTATATTATTCCTTGCACATGCTTGTAATTTATTGTGTAGCATATTTTAACAACAAGCAAATGTACTATGTAATACTGCTGGTCAGTATATCCATTAGCTTATAGGAGAATCTTCAGAAATGGGTTTTTTTAATTTTGTGTATTGACTTAAGTTTCGTACTTCATACAGCTTTTTCATTTGAGTTTATAATGTGTTCAAATAATGACTGTGATCTTTTCACATTTTAATTTTGTTCTCTGTTTCTTTTTGTTCTTATATGTACAGCAATGTTTACTCAATATTTGAACTTCTGTGTTGTTTATCTCAGAAGTTAAAAAGCCCTGTTTTAATATCTAAGTAGTCATTTTGCTGCATTTTCAATATTATATGTCACAATTTGGCTTGTTAAAATATAAGTTGGTAATGTAAGGTGAATGGAATGAACTTCTATTGTGATTCTGATAACTGTCAGAAAATTGTAAGCTAATGTGTTATTGAAAAGTGCCCTGAAATTTGTATTTAAAAAAAATGAAAGTTTTTTGTAGCAAACAGTAGAGCCTCTGTTACTCGGTCTCAAAACATAATTAATAATTTTAAATAAAATTTAATAAAAAATATTTAAATATTTATAAGAGCCTTATTTGCTGTATTTTATTAATGCTTTCATTAATTTTTAGTAAAGGCAGAACAATCAGATACTATGAAAAAAATCTGAAAGCTCCAATTGTTTTTGTGGTGGGAGGGGTTTGTTATTTGAATCTCAAATCCTAACATTTAAAGAAACTACTAAAAACTATTTTTAAAGATTAGCTTTATTTAGGCCCAGTGGATGCACTGATTAAAAGAATATGGATTTTGCAATTTCACCTGTACTTTTATCATCATCATTTATTTGCATGCTAAAAGTGTTTTAGTGCTTTGATGAATCCTTCAAATAAACAACACTTCTGATATATATATATATATAATTTATTTACTAATAGATTATTGAGTATATTATCTCCTTAGAGAAAGGTAGTAGAATTTTAGTTGAATGAAGTAACTTATAAGCATTTAAAAATGAATCTTGAAATTTTTTTAAAAATGAAACATCAAGTATGACTCATGAAAAAATTAAAAATGGAAACATTTAAAAAAGGAAAAAGTAATCAGACTAAGTAATTATCATCATTGATCGGAAATTGGTTTCAATGGGAACCAACACCCAACCAATTAATAATAATTGATAAATAATAAATGCGAAGGGGTTTCATCTTTTACTGAAGTAAGAATTATGATGCTAAACTAGTATTATGCAAGTTGAGTATCAGCCAAGTAGGTAGATTTTAAGTTAGATGAATTTAAGTTGATGTACCATATAGAATTCATGATGAAAGTGGCAATTCCTATAAGAGGAAAACTTTTTGAATATAGTAAGATACTATTATTAGAGTGAGTAGTAGTATTATTTTCTTACATGAGTAAAGTGCCCTCTTGACACCCTCACTTTTAATCATGTTTATTCGAAGTAATGTTTATAAACATAATAAACAGAATGCAATCTTTGTAAAGATTATTAAAAAATGTTAAATATAAAAGTTGAAAAAATATTTACAGATGATAAGAAGGTACAATAAAATATACAAAAGGAAATATACATAAATGGCCAGAAGATGAATTAATTAAGTTACTTGCTTGTGAATGTTAAAATTGAGACATGCCCATTACTGTATTCATACCCAGAATGGAATTTGGAATTCGAACCACGATGGAGAGAGGCCAGACAAATGAGTTTGTGGCAGTCGGGGACTTTGAGAATCTATTTTTAGAATGCGAGAAGGAAGTGGGTGTGGAACTGTCTTTCGAGCACAAGAGGCATCTGTTGAAATTTTTTACTTTAAATGATCAGACAAAGGAAATTAATTAATATATGGCTCTTTATTAATTAATATATTTACTTCAATCTTTGCATATAATAAAATTCAAATTAAATTGAAAGCAAATTCAAATATCACTCTCAGTTTGGTAAAAATATTAAGTATGTTGAAGTCTTGAATTTCAAGAATTTCAGTCAAGTGCTTCATTTACTAAATTTCTTTTGTATTTTTTTAATAAATATAGATGTATTTTTTAAATTATTATTTTTTAAAACAGATATCACATTGTGTTTTAATGAAAAACTGAGTATTATTATTATTATTATTATTATTATTTGCATCATCTTATTTTTATATGAATGACCTGAGATTCAAAACCTTTGAATTTTGAATTCTAGAAAATATAAGATTTCTACCATCTTTAATTTTAAATGTGCATGCAATAACTGTTAATAGAAACTTTATTATTATGCTACAAAGCTGATGCTTAGTATTGGGATTAAAAATAAACGTAATATAACTATACATATTTTAATGTAATGTGTGTTTAAACTTAATTTTCTGCTTTATTTTGCTTTCTATATGCATTTTCTATGAAAACTTCTGCATAGGCTATTATATGAGAATATCCTGGTTTCAGTAGACATAAGAACTGACATGAGGAAATTATAAATTAATAAATAAAAAAATATTAATATTTAATGTTTATAACAAGAGTGGATTTGGAAATTTCTGTTGTTAATAAATATATTAATATTGATTGCAAATATTTATACGTGTTTTATAGGAAATAAAAAAGCTTATCAGGTTTAGTGTTTTTGAAACCGAGGTGCAAGAGGTTTTACTACACTACATTCAAAGGAGAGTTCCAAATTCCATATTTATATGTTTAAAAGGATTTTTAATACTGTTGTTAGATGTGTTCTATACTAGGAATTTTTTTATTTTACTTGCATTCTACACACACGCATAAGATAAAAAAAAACACACACGCATAAGATAAAAAAACACACACGCATAAGATAAAAAAAATATAAATCAGCATTATAATTTAATTTAACAATAGAGTCTTAATTCCTAATTTTTATTTTGGATCTTTCTTCTCTGTATTCTAAAAGTAGTAATAACTTTTCTGAACTGCACTATTTCCTAGATTAATCTACATTACATGGCTTGCACAATGCTGATGATGTAGCTTATTTGAAACTTAATATTTTGAAAACTGAAACCTTTCTAACCTAAATCAAAACCTTCTCTTCCATATTGGATAAATGTGCACTTTAGCTTCAAATTCTGTGCTGTTTGGACAGTATTTCGCTATGCTCTTTTCCTATCACAATAGTTTCAAAAATGTAAATATTTTGGAAATGGGTACAATTAGAGTGCCAAGTAAATTGTAGCCACATATGTCAATTGAAATAAAAATGAGTATTTAATATTAGGCCAAGTTTCCAAATCTTTATGGATTCAACATTTTAGCATACTATGCAATCAGAATTTTTCCTCTTCAGTATGGATCTACTATATTCTGAGCTATCTACGTGCTACGTCATCAACATTGCTATGTCCTTTTTCTCTTTTTTATTACATATATATATATATATAATATTTATATAGGTGTTGCAAAACAGAAAAGCAAGGATTTGATTATGCCTAGTAGTGCATTTTATAATTTTTCTGTGCATATTGTGGCACAAAGATTCAATGTCATTTTAATGTGTGCATATTTCTCAAAGTAAAATTATTATTATTTTTTAAAAAGACAAATTTCAGACTTCAGAATATCATTTAAACAGATGTGAAATACTTTGCTTTCAGTAAACCTGTGAATTTTTTATAATCATACAGCTCTAATATTCACAAATAATGTATATAAAGTTAGAACTTTTATAATTTAGTAAGTAATTTAAAATTAGAATGCTCAAATCATTTATGCATCTAGAGTGAGTTTTCATATGCATCATGGATTACAATTCCATACAGTAAAGAAAACATTCATTTTTTTCCATGGAGAGTAGATGATTTCCCTCCCCCCCCCCACACAGGAAAAGGGTCTATAGTTGTTTTAGTTGTTTTCTTTGTTAAATGTCCATGGAATTCTTGAAAAATATATAAGTATTTCAGATTCTTTCCAAGCTTGAAAAGTCCATTGTGTGTTATTAGTAAGAAATTTGCAAACCAGCAACAATTTTCTATACATTAAAGTTATAAAGTTATTGCTTTGAATTTCAAATAATCTATTTTATCTAAAAATACAAAATTTATATAAAAGAAATACTAACTTAACTTTGCCTGTTATGTAAAGTGTGTACTGTGTTGCATAACCTCAGGCTTTCAAAATTCACTTGCAATTTTTTTTTCTCAAATGTGAAAAAAAAATTTTTTTTTTTAAATCATCTTTAAAAATCTATAATATAGTTTCAAGTTTATCTGATTTTGACAATCATTTTATGAATTCTTATGAAAAATAATTTAAATCTTAAATGCTTGGCATTTATCTAATTTACATTTTAATTATTAGCATATAAAACCTGTATTGTTATTTGTGAGAGAATATCTTTGTTTATCTGCCTTTTGTTAGGCTTTCTTTGAAACATTTCATATGATACTCTTTTAAGATTGTGTAAAAAATATTAAATTTCTGATTATATCTGATAAATCTATTTCACAATTAACCCTATTTCTTGAGTAATTACTTTTTATGATTAAGAACTGTTTTTGTGCAGTTGTATAAAGATAGTAACATTCTTAGAAGATATTTTGAATCTAGCCAGATGGTGACTTTATTTATGAAAATAGTTATAGCGCTCATAAGGTGCCTCTGTGTTACAGTGATAACTCCGCTATATGTGATACTCACATTGATAATAGTCCGTAATCAAACAATAGAATTTTTAAGCATCATTTGTAGAATTTGTTGTGATACCGTTTTGCCAGTTAACCTCATCATAGCCTAGATCTCAGAACTTGCACATATTCATCAGTTTGAGTTTGATCTTTGTAATTATCAAGTGCAAGGCTTACTGTGTATTGTCCTGTGCCAAAATTTGTTTGCTGCAGTACTATGTATTTGTTTTATAATGTATTTAATGAAAATTTCATGTTATGTATTATAGAGTACCTGCCTTGCACACTTTAGTCAGGCCTTTACTCTAAGATAAATTGTTATCAAAGTAATAGTTGTGGGTCAGTTTTCTATGCAATAAATATTTTTCATGCAGGTATTGAATTTGGATTTAAAAAATTATGAAACATTGACATATTATAAAATCCTTAAATTTGCAATTATGTTCTATTATGTTTATGTGTACTCACTGTAAAAACATTCTCTGAAGGTCTGGTTTTATGATAATGTATGATACAGAAGTTATTCGCAACTACTCCTTTACATTCATGTTTTTTTTTTTTTTTTTTCTTTTTTTGAAGGGGGTATCTGATGTCAGTGGTGGAAGCACAGTAATCAAAAGTTTATTTCGTAATCAAAAGTATGATGCACTTTTGGTAATTAATCTGTGTTACAGATTTTTTTGTTATGTTGTTCATCTAATCATACCAATGGTTCTCATCCTGTTTCGTTCCATGCATTACTTTCACCACTGCTAGTAGATCATCTTTCCTTCTTTCCAAAACTAAAAAAATACATATACATTAAATTAAGTTTACTTTATTTCTTAATATGTTTTATAAAGAAAACAAGAAAAAGTATAGAAATTGCTGTTAATACCTAAACTTGAATAAATGTAGTTTTTTATATTCATAAACTAAAATACATAACAGTTAAATAAAAGTCTGGCCACATCCTTCCCTGAAACTATAAAATCAGCCAGGAAGGTAATTCCCCTGGTTGAGAACTCTAAATTATACAAAAGCTTGCTTGAACATTGAAATCAAATGTGTAAATTTTATGCATCCATTAATGTTCTGTTAATTATAATGAATGGGGCATTGGAATGTGCATCATGAGCCATTTCTGAAACTTTTTTGCGATGTTTTAATAAATTCCAGTATTTATTTCATAGTAAAAGATAATTTTATAGAATGAGAGTGCTACTGATAATTTAAATGTCTGAAGTGCACTTTTAGTGAAGAAATAAATTTAAA